AAGATAAAGGAAATAAAAATCATCTCCCTATAATAGCACTGAATATAAATGATCTAAACTCTGCAATCAAAAGATATAGATTGGCAGAATGAAGTAAAAAACATAAGACCTCAACATATGTTGTTTACAAGAGACTCGCCTTACAGGCAAAGACATTCACAAGCTAAATATGAAAAGATGGAAAAATAAATGTCATGCAAATAGAGACCAAAAGTAAGCAGGAACAGCTATTCTGACATCTAACAAAGTAGATTTTAAGTCAAAATTGACCCAAATAGACAAAGAAGGTCGCTTTGATACTGGTTAAGGGAATCATCCAACAAAAAGATACAATAATTGTAAATACTTATGCCCCAAATATCAGTGCACCTACATACATAAAACAAACCCTTCTCGATATAAAGAACCAACAAGACTACAACACAATCATAAAAGGTGATTTTAATATACCTCTTTCACCAATAGATAGATCATGCAGACATAAATAAAGACCCTTCAGAACTAAAAAATATTATTAATCAAATGAACATAACAGACATCTATAGACTACTTCATCTGTCAACAACTGAATTCACTTTTTTAGCTGCACAGAGAACCTTTTCTAAAAAACATCTTATTTTAGGACACATAGCAAGTCTTCACACATGGAAAAAAATACATAAATTCCTTGCCTCTCATCACATCATAATAGAATGAAATTACAAATCAATAACAAGATAAAAACAGAAATCATATTAATACCTGTATATCAAATAATATACTTTTAAATGAGAAGTGGGTCATAAAAACAATAAGGGGTGAAATCAAAAAAATTCTTAGAAGAATATGAGGACAGAGACACAACATACAATAACTCTGGGGCAGTATGAAGGCAGTTCTAAGAGGAAAGTTTATAGCATTGAGTGCCTATATTAAAGAAATAAAAAAGAAAGATCCAAAATAAATAATCTAATGTTACACCTCAAGGTCTTAGAAAAGGAAGAATAATGGGCTGCAGTTATAGCTCAATGGCAGAGTGCTTGCCTCACATATGTGAGGAACTGGGTTCAATTCTCAGCACCACATAAAAATAGAACAACATAAAGACATGCTGTCCATCTATAACTACAAAAAAAAATTTTTAAAAAGGAATAATAAATGAATTCCAGAATTAGTAAGAGACAGGAAAAATTAAGATCTGCGTCAAAATTAGTGAAATTTGTAATTAAAAATGAGTAAAAGTATCAATGCAACAAAGAGTTAGTTCTTTGAAGAGATAAACCAGGATCTACTAGAAAATAAAAAGAGGAGTAAAAAAGACTGTTTTTCAATATTACTGTATATCATCTCTTCCTTATCTGAGTGCTCACAAATCACCTAAAAATCTATTATAGAATTTTTCCCAGAATAAAAGGCAAGAATAACTTTGTATGAATTAGAAAAACCACCATATTTATTTATTTACTTAAGAAAGGAATAAAATGATCTTCCTTTCAGTCACAGAGTAGGTGAAATCAATGTGAAATATACAGTATCTAATCTGAGTTTTGTCTATAGATATAATTTAGGAACAGGGTAAGCAAAAATAAAAGTTTAACCACACATATGAGGAAATCATAAAGTAAGTTTAAAATATTATATCAAAGAATATCTTTAATTACAGAAGTATACTGAAGGAATTTAAAGGCAAAATCTCACATCTTCTGTTTACTTTCAAATAGTTCAAACACACACACACACACAGTCTACATGTTGTACATGTGTAAGCATACATAGCAAAATGCTAACATTGCTTTATCTAAGTAAAGGGTTTGCTATTCCTTCAACTTTATGGTTTAAATTTTCATAATAAAATACTGGCGGAAAACAAAACTCACAGTTTTTATATGGTCTTACATTATATGCTCTCCTGACCATAATATATGCCCATAAAAGGGATAGTCTGTCAACTAATTAATATACCGAATTATTTAAAATATAGGATGGCATATGTTCGAAAGTGATCAAATCATATTGCTATGAAAATACCAGGCCCATGTAGATTTTCTAAGCAGAATTTTGCTTTTAACAAAGCCTGGTTTTGGTTGGCCTCATTGACAAAGGAGTTATACTTTTGAAACTCTTGGTTATCCAGCTAATTGTTTTGCATAATGCTTTGGGACCATTTCTATAAACTAGACTCATTATATGAGCAATCGTAGCCACTAAGATCTGAATGTACAGGTTGTTGTTGCTACTCTTATGGCCAAAAGAGAAATCCTTGCCAGAAAGAATATAAAAGAGTAGGCAAAAATAATTCTCCCTTTAGGCTGAATTATATATAAGTTATATAAATATAACTTATGCTAAAAGCAATTAACATAAAAAATGTTCCTAGGCTGGGGATATAGCTCAGCTGGTAGAGTGCTGGCCTAAGATGCATAAGGCCATGGGTTCAATCCCCAGCACCATCACCCAAAAATAAAATGTCACAGATGATCTATTTAAATTTAATGTGAGTTAAAATGTACTTACTTCATTAATCAGACTTGAAGAGAAATAAAGCCCACAATGAAACTGAATTTTAAATTATTACAATCTCATAGAGCACACTGGCATGATCCAAATAATATGGGAAGGAAGTCAGAATTATACATGTTGGCCTAAAATATTCATCTGTACATAATGTGTAGCGAAGTTATACATTCTACCTAACACTGTCCCACTGAGAAACCCTAATGAAAATATATTTGTTCAATTAAATCTGAAACCTTGACTACTCAGGATGAGATAAAAGAATGTTCTGATGTGGAAGCAAAAAAACAGGACTTTGAACACTGAAACTAAACTAAATAAGCAACAAAGACCAGAAGAAGGACTGGGGCTGTAGCTCAGTGGCAAAGCGCTTACCTTCCATATGGGAGGCATTGGGTTCGATCCTCAGAAACACAGAAAAAAATACACAAATAAAATAAAGGCATGCTGTCCATCTACAAATACCAAAAAAAAAAAAAAAAAAAAAAAAAAAAAAAAGAACAAAAAAAGTATTATTGAGAAAAGAACAATGGCCCAGATGATATAAGAAGAAGAAGAGAAGAGGAAAACAAATAGGAAAGGGAGGAAGGGGAAGAAGGGGAGGAGGAGGAGGAGAAAGAGGAAGAGGAGGAAGATGAAGACAAGGACAAGGAGGATGAGGAATTATAAGAGAAAGGACTGAGAATGCAGACAATGAGAGCTAGGTCCAAGGTGATGGTAGCTACAGTAAGAAAATAAAGCAGGCCAACAATGATGGAGAGCAATTTAAAAAATCAAACTGAGTTATAAACTTAAAGAAAAAGAAAGATAAATCTAAGTGATGTTGTAGAAAAGATATGGGAAAGCAGGGTGGTATGATCTCAGGACAATTTTTAAGCTTTGGGTTCAAAATATATCTAGTAAACAAAAAAAAAATATTCCAAATTTGTGGGATTGATCCTGCAGAACCAAAAGAGATCATCATTGATTCTAATCTTAAAAAATTAAAAGAAATGATTTTTCAAACACTCAGATAAGTAAAGAAAGCAGCAGCAGATGTATGAGGTTAAAGTTAGTTTGGTAACAAATATATTTTTTAAATTTAAGATTTCAGACCTGGTTTTCTAACCAAATATATACATCCATTAGAGTAGATTATAAAACTTAAAGACAGCAAACAAGTTTAATTTCACATAATGAAACCAACTTCATGTGCATAAGGAAATAATAGATATTGCTTAATTAGCGTTGACTATGTGGCAGGCACTCTTTTCTACACATTTTGCACATTAAAAACTCAATTCTAACAACAACTCTAGAAAAAAAGCTAATAATATTATTCCCAGGGACTGGGGATGTGGCTCAAGCGGTAGCGTGCTCGCCTGGCATGCGTGCGGCCCGGGTTCCATCCTCAGCACCACATACAAAGATGTTGTGTCCACCAAGAACTAAAAAATAAATATTAAAAATTCTCTCTCTCTCTTTAAAAAAAAAGCATACATTAAAAAATATTATTCCCAGTTAATTGATGAGGAAATTGAGGCACAAAGAGGTTAAATAACTTTCCTGAACTCATATAGCTAGCAAGACAGCATTAGAAACTCACTTAAAGATAGTACTTTTAACTGTTATTTCATCCTTCCCCTCTATGAAAGATGATGAGTCAGGTCTGGACATAATGGCTATCTGAATAAATTCTATAAAAAGCTTAGGCTTTCCAATGATATTACTTGAGTTCAAATGTCAGTTTTTCCCCTTACTAATGTTAAAAGAAAAATTGTTAAATAAATTAAATTTAGAAAAATTTATTTGAGAATAATATGATTTATTATTTAAGCAGCTCTCAAAATCAGGAGAGATTCAGAGTGCTCCACCCACTGCCCAGCAAATGGGCAGGCAGTATTTAGAAACAAAAAAATGAACTGACATTCCAAAACAACGTGATTGGTTATAGTCCGACATTTGCTTCATATGGACATGGTCTGATCAATTGGCAGCTTGTGATTTGCTGAAGTTTGAACTGAAATTGTCTGAGATTTCATTATTTGTTATAAGAACATACTCTTTAATTAGTTTTTAGTTGGTTTACATACTAAATTAGATTTTAAGTTTTCTATATACTGAGGCAACTTTAAGCCAAATATAATTTAATTTAGCATTAGCTATGTAATCTTTGGAGCACCACTTAGACCTTATGAGACTCAATACCATTCTATGAAAATGGGGATCTAATGCTTCATTTACAAAGCAAATTGAGGTTTAGTGGAGATAATATAAGTGCCCAAGTTCAGAATCTGATGCAAAAAACACTCGGTAGATAGTAGCTAGGACTGTAATTATACACAATATACAAGGAAATATAAAGCACATTATATTTACTAAAAAAGCCAACTTAACTTCTTAGATGTAGTTTATAGGAAAATAACAGATTGTCATACAAGATAGTTTTAAAACACTTTTGCTCTGATATTTAAATCACAAATTACAACAAGTGGTAGGCAAAATGCCTTCCATAGAGTATACTGTACCTCTTTGATGATTTTCACCCCTTTTGGATCCTTGATATTAACAGCTATGCTCTAAAAATCAAAATATATATATATATATAATATTATCATAAAGGCTTTTTTTATTATTGACAGTCCAACAAGAGAGTCATTCACATCATAGATTCTCCTCTTAAAGCAAAATTGTATCCCTCATGAAGAATTATTAAATCATTTTTACTGATTATATTCGCTATCAGAATGATATCAAGGATTATAATAAATGGTTTTCAATAGTAATATGAGTATTAGAGTTAGCATTCTCTAAAACAATGTAAAGAATCAAATGATTTCTCTTTCATAAAATGATTTCCACTATAAATTCTCATGAAATGTTTTAAGTTAATAGAGAAAGAAGATTAATTTTAAAATCCCTGCTTCTATTTGATAACTGATGAATAAAGAAAACTTCATATTGTTTGAAATATTAGTTATATCTACAAAAAAAGCCATGATGCTATCCAAAGCTTTGTGATAATAAAAAAACTATACAAATAATGCAAAAAAAAAAAGAAATTATGATATCCTTACTTTTTTATTTCGGTTAACACTGAGAAAATATGTACTTTCTGTACCCACAAAAGGTGGCCCCCAAGTTCGTGTATCATCACCGGCTCCTAAAAAATAACAATATGAGCTATTAATTCTTAGCTCCAAAACACCATGAGAGATTTTTATAACTTCTGAATAAGTATTAGTGTGAGATATTAACCATTATAATTACCTGTATAGGCAATAACAATTAACTTTTATCACTAGCCCTCTAAAAAGTAAAGAATTTATGAACTTGGATAAAGTTTTAAATTCTAGTCATTTAAATGGTATAATCTATTAACCATTAAACTTTATTTACTCTCTTGAGATGGATCAAGGCATAATCTTTTTGAAGGAAAAAAGAGAATAAAAAATAAATCTATTTATTTTTTAAAAACCCACAAGAGAAATAGAGTGCACAAGTAAGAATAGAAAAGAAGTATTAGTTCTAACAGGACATAAACCAATAATTACACAAAGCAATAAATACTAAATACCAATGGAAGGACATACTCAAAACATTGACAGGGAGGAGGGAGTTGGGGAGAATGAACTACAAGGGTCCACAAAGAGAACTACCCAATACTAAACCCATCAGTGACTTTGTGAGAAATGTATGTAAGGCCCAGATATTTGGTATATGATAGGACCTCTCAGAATCACCAGCCACTTCCTTTTTTTTTGACTCACAATATTTTAAAATAGAAGGAAGAGGAGAAGCAACAATGCCAAGATAAAGTTGAGATTCATTTGGTTTAAATATTTGCATGCATCTATCAGGTGGAAATAGGTCAGAAGTTACACTGGAGGCCTAAGAAAGCTTTCCTCTTCTCTTGTCCTTAGAATATAGCCATGATTTTAGAAAGGCAGAAAGATCAGTGTCATTTGACCCAAAACATAAGATAAAAGATCACAAACTATTAAACCAGAAAGCTTGTAAACATGTTTTATTCGACCCACAGAGTTTCTAAGTTTTTTAACAATCTGCTAAGATTTCAAAATCTGGAAATCTCATGTAAAAACTTAGCCTTTCTTAAATGGTTTTTCAATCCATTCATTGATTCAACACTTATTGAGCACCAGCTAAGTGAAGATACTGCTCTATCCAGGGCAAAAATGGCAGTGAACAAAAGACCAAAATTCCTGATCTCATATGCCTGCTTATAGGTACAATCTGGAGTTTTAGTGGCCTCATTTGCTGCCCTTCCAGCCCGTTTCACTCATTTACATTCCCTGCCAGGTCCTGCAGGCATTATAGATTACACATATAGATTTGCTAACTCTAAAAGAAAAGATAAAAACTATACTTAAGTTTGATATGCTCTTATGATTACATAAGTAAGAATAAGTCCTAAGTCAGAAACTGCAATCAAATTTTATTTAATTGAAGAAATGGAAAAGTAGACATAAAAAGAGAGTCTACTGGAATTTAGAAATACTATCAAGTTGCATTCAATGAAACTGCTACTAGTCATTTTTCCTCATATCCACGTTGAGTAAGTATCTCAAAAACCCAGAACAATTGAATATATATTATGAACATTAAAATGTATTGGGCAAGAGGGTTTATCAGCCAAAAAAGGAGCAGTAAACACCTGCTAGGTGTTTGAGAGGTAATAAAGGCCTTGACAAAGAAAGTTCTCCTCATAGTGGAACCTAAAGTACAAAGGAGAAACAGGGATAAGTAAATAAGGAATAATAATTTATGAAAGTAATATAAGTACAATTACTAAACTGTTGACCAACTGAAATAGAAAGAAAAATTAGATGGGATGCTCCATACAAGAAAGGAAGACACAAGAAAACCAATGGTTGAAATCAGGAGGTGCTCTGATGTTGAAATCAAATCAAAATGTATAAATTAGAAGCTTTAAACAACTGGAGTGGGGAGTGTTCAGCTAAAAAAATAAATATTCTTCAGTATGTATCCAGTAATGACAGAAAGTGATAAACTTTGTTGACTGGATATATGAAGCAAATGTCTCAGGAAAGCAGGACTCTCCAGGCACTTCTATTATCTGAGACTGATAAACACGGGCTCAGATAAATATAACAAGATAAAATACAATAATATATAATACTCCTATGCTGATCAGAGAATCTTCTGCTAACTGCTTTGGCCTCATAGGAAGATCTGATTAGCAGGAAATAGAATCTTCCAGGTCAAATATTCTACTTTAAAATATGGTTTATCACTTATGGTAAATTAATGTTGATATAATTATAAATTCATCTCTATGAGCCTTATGGATAAATGCACACTAATCAGCACTATACCATTCTCATTAATTTGAGAATTCTGTTCCAAATCCATAAGGACTAAATATTAGAACATAAATAGTAATACTAATTTTTGATAACTTCAAGATAAGCTGTCTATAGAATAATGGCATGAAGAAAGTATCTGTGCCTCTTAAGTGCTTGTGGAAAGAAGTGGCACACAACAAAGATACTTTTCAAAGCAACTTTATCAATAATTGCATGAACTAATCACCATAATGTTTAAAGCACCAAATAAAAGTGAAAATTGCATATTCAGAAGACATGTATTTGATGGGAAAAGAAGGAAAAAAAATTAGACAGATGTGAGATAAAAAAATAATATAAGCTGATATGTTGTCCTTTCAAGCCCTTGATTTATTTATTTTTTTATTTTTCTGTAGTTGTAGATGGACAGAATGCCTTTATTTATTTGTTTATTTTTATGTGGTGCTGAGGGTTGAACCCAGTACCGCAAACATGCTAGGCAAGTATTCTACCACTGAACTACAGCCCCAGCCCTGCCTCAAAACCTCTAAACTCTAAAGTGGTAAAGTTTTTAATTTTTTTTTAAATAGAATAGAATGACAGGTTAGGGTATTTGGGTTGCTTTTGATGGGCTTTGATTCCTTTTCCTTCTCTCCTCCTTCTGTATCTTATTTCTTCCCTTTTATCATGCCCTTGTCTTTGCCATCCCTTCATCCCATGCTCAGGGAATGTGGTCACACTCACTCTAATCTCAATCTCAGTGGTGCAGCTTGTATAGAGCCTAGAAAAACCAGAATCTGAGCTGAGAACCTAGATACTCTTTACTAACTATGTAAGCTTGAACATATTGCTTTACCTCTGTGTCTTATGCTTCTATTTTCTCATTTATAAACAAGGAATAATATCAGCCTATATGGTTATTGTAAAGATTAAATTCAAGTCAACAGGGTTTATTCTTTTTTTAATAGATAGACATAATATCTTTATTTTAATGTGGTGCTGAGGATCAAACCTGGTACCTTACAAGTGCTACGCAAGCACTCTACCACTGAGCTATAACCCCAGCCCGGCAATGGGTTTAAAACTTAGCCTGGCTCTATAATTGTTTTTATCATCATTGTTATTATATGTTTTAACAGAATGTTTCAGGTATGTGAGAAGGAAATAACTTCAGTCTTAGTCCTTGGCACCTTTATAGAGTAAAAAAGGGATCACAAGCACAGGTTCAGAGGAACACAAGAAATGGAAAAAAGAAAATAATCTTTAACTTATCTCCTCATCCCATTTATAGGATATCCAAACATGAAAACTTAAGGAATTACTCAAAATATTTATTAGCCTGATTCTATTTTTTTAAACAAGCAATAGCTTTACCTGGTCTTTCCACTTTTATAACTTCTGCTCCAAGATCTCCTAAATTCATAGTAGCAAAAGGTCCTGCCAGCACTCTACAATGTTAACAACAATAAAAAAAGACCAACTTGAAATTTTTTATTAATTATTTTCTTAATATTCCATCAACACAGATAAGCTTATATAATACTAGCAAGAATCAAAATTGTAGAAACTGTTATTTGGCCATATGTATCAAGAGCTTTAAAAAAGTATATCCCCTTTGATCTGGTAATTCTATTTCTAGAATTCTATCCTGAAGAAGAAATTGAAACTGAGGCAATATTTGTATCCAAGGAAGACTAATTTATAAATGTGAAATACTGGGGGATTATTAAGTAATTAAAAACTAAAACTAAAATCTATATAATACAATATCATCTTACATTTTTTGTTTAATTTTTTTTAATATTTATTTTTTACTTGTAGTTGGACACAATATCTTTTATTTATTTTTATGTGGTGCTGAGGATCGAACCCAAGGCCTCACATGTGCTAGGCGAGCACTCTACCACTGAGCCACAATCCTAGCCCTGTTTAATTTTTAATAACAGAAAAATATTCAAAAGGAAACTGTATATTTAGCTATTCCCATACAGTAATCTCATGAAGTCCTTAAGGCCCAAGTCAGATGTTTTCTTAATGTATTTCATAAGCACTTAAATATCTCGTGTTTCAACTGGTAGATGTATAAGACTAAGAATAATTATGCTTTTTTGTTTGTTTGTTTAGGGAACAAAAAAGTTAAAAAAGCATTTCCAAAAATTCAAATAAAACTAAAAAAAACATGCTGTTGTATGCTTTAAATGCCAATAAAACTATAATTCCAATGTAGTTCCAATTATTTTTAAAATTATATATAAATGTGTAGATTGACAAAAATGCACAAATATTACACTAATTGTCTCTTAGAATAGTGCGACTCCAGGAATTTTTCTTTTCTTTTCTCCTTCTCCAAAATTTGAACATAAGAAATAAATATCCCCCTATGATCGAAAAAAGTAATTAAAAATTGTTGAGAGAAGGGAAAAACTAATCACTAAAATGTAAATAAACAATACAAACCTTGTTAGATCTAGAATTTTTACACCCTCCAATGGCTTCACGTTGTCAATATCTGGAACAAAACAAAAACATTCTAAGAATATTAATTAATACTTTTCAGAAAGAACAAAGCAGATTTCTCCACATTTAGTTTTATGTAGTCTCTATTGTTATCAAAAACAATAATTTTTCTTCACAATGATTCTGCTTAACACAAAAACCTCACCCTGATCCCAGTGAATGTCCACTAAAGCCTCTAATAATAAAATATTCCCAATTAATAGCATCCACAGCCACACTGAAATATTTTTTTCTAATGAAAAATAAAAACTAAAATAGTGACATGTAATATATAGGATAGTAAAAGCAACAACAAAGATCTCCAAATATTTGTTCTCTCAAGACAGGGAGGAAATAATGAATCTTAAAAGTATATTAAACAGTTTACAATCATATGCATACTTCCCTTTTTCTCTTCACCCATCAGCTAAATTGATATGTACATTAATAACACATCAAACAAACATGTTCAAAATCAACATTAAATCACAAAATCAAATTTTAGTCAAATGACTTACATAGTTTAGTCATTATGACCTCATAATGACTGAGGTCAAGCCCTTCTGGGGAAAAATTGGGAACTATCACTTCAGTTATTTTTAATTGACTTTATTTTTTAGAACTGTTTTGGCAAACAGCAAACTTGAGTGAAAGGTACAAAAATGTTCCAGAGGAACTCTGTTCCCACATATGCATAACATTCCACTTTCAAAATCCTACACTAGAGTAGTATATTTATTATAATCAATAAATTTGCATTGATACATCATTTTCACCTGAAATCCATAGTTTACATTTGGGCTCATTCTTGATATTGCCCATTTTATGAGTTTTAACAAAAGCATAATGATATGTAATCACTATTATATTATCATAGAGAATAGTTCCACTGCCCTAAAAAATCCTTGTGCTCCACTCCACTTATTCATCTCCTACTTCACTAACTTCTTTGCCTTTATCAAAATGTAGTATAAATATAGCCTTTCTGGCTTCTTTCTCTTAGTAACATGCACTTAAGTTTCCTTACATCTTTTCAAGTCTCCATAGCTCATTTCCTTTAAGTATTAAATAATATTCCATTGTTTGTATGTACCACAGCTTCTTCATTCACCTACTAAAGAACATCTTGGTTGCTTCCAAGTTTGGGCAATTATGAATAAAGCTGCTATAAACATTGTGTGCATGTTTTTGTGTGGACATAAGTTTCCAATCCATTTGGGTAAATACCAAGGAGCGTGATTGCTGGACCGTATGGTAAGAGTATGTTTAGTTTGTAAGAAACTGCCAAACTGTCTTCCAAAGTGGCTGTACTATTTTTCATTCCCATCAGCAATGATTGAGAGTTACTCGATTCAACATATTTTTTTTTTTAATTCTCAAAGTAACTCTATCACAAGCAGATTAAGAATGAAGGTTAGAATTCATACATTTCTCATAGGCTTGAGATGAACCACAAGGAGTACAATGATTCTTAGCTAGGGGTCAAAAGACCACATTACTACAGTAATGAACACTAGAACTCCATACACTGAATGTTTACTCCTTGAAATAAGCAAATACAATAAGAAATTACTGTCAAAGCAATAGAAAATATTTTAAGTCCATGTGATTGATGCATTATTTTCTTGTAAGCACTCTTATGTGGAAAACCAAATTATAATTAGATGGTAAATTGATGAACAGAGGATCAGAAAATGAAAAAGAGCCAAAAGAATGTTTAGCATACTAGATTACTACAGGTACAGCACCCATGAATCACAATTCTAGATATGCATAACCTTGCATATTCTCCCATGTTGACTCTGGGCTTGGACATTTGCCTTGTTTTCACCAATGGGACATCAAGAGACTTGACACTGGCCGAGGCTTGGATAAGTGCTTGCTTCCTAAGGCTTGATGTTTCAGAATGTTTCTGGCTTCATGTGAAAAAGCACAAGATGACAGAGCCCATGGAAAGTGACCTGGCCATCTCAGTCATTGCAACAGTCCCAGCTGAGGCCCCAGACATGTATGTAAAGCCATGTAAAACACCCAGGCCCACCTCAAACACCACCTATCTGCAGCCACATCAATGAGCTCAGGTAAATCCTGCTGAAGACTGTCCAGTCAACCCACAGAACTTTGAGAAAAAATAAATCAGTATTGTTTTAAGTACTGTCTTGGGATGATTTGTGAGACAGCAATAAATAAAATGAAATCATGGCTTATGGCAGAAACAGCCTGTTGTAGCAGCCAGTTATCCTTTTAAAATGCAAGACATAGCCAGGCACAGTGGTACACACCTGTCATCCCAACAAAGGAGGCTGAAGCAAAAAGATCACAAGTTCAAGGTCATCCTAGGCATCTTAGTGAGATATTATCTCAGAAAAAAAATGACTAAGGATGTAGCTCAGTGGTAGAGTTCCCCAGGTTCGGTCCCCAGAATAAAAAAAAAAAAAAAAATCCAACATCTTTCCACAGCCTACAAGATCCTGCTTATTCTGGCCCCTGGTTGCCTCTCCAATCTCCTTCCCTATCACTCTCCTTCTCACTCTTCCCCAGCCTTCTTGCAGTCGTTTAATCATGTTTTAGAGCCTTGGGCAGATTGCTCTTCAAGAAAGGATTTACTGTCCACATACAGAAAGCATGTTTAACTTACAACTTCCAGTATCAGCTCAGTCAGAGTTCACTTCAGCCTACTTCAGCTGAAAGCATATGCCATTTGACCAGAGAAGTCCATGGTCAAATGACTGAGCAGAGTGGAAAATAAGGCCTAGTCATTTCCTCCACTCACTGCAGAGGTGCTGTAGTGGGCCTCAGGCTGTCAGCTATGGAACCCCGCACAAGGCTGGCACAGACTTTGACAGGTCGACATGCAGTCTGGCAGCTCCTCCCTCCAATTGGATTTTCTTCCTTTTCTTCTAACTGAGTTTACTGCCCCCCCAAATTTGCCTTTCTAATGGTATCAATAACTGCTTTACAGAAAACACAAGATGTGACAGGGCCTTTGCACTTACTGTTCCCTAGGACTGGCACTCTCTTCCGTTATATATTTGCATTCTTCTCACTTCATTTAAATTTCTGCTTGAATATCACACTGAGAGACCTTGCCAGATCATTCTACCTAAAACAGAACCCCTATGAATCTCTATTCCTGCTTTATTTTTCTTTATAATACTTATTACCTTACATTATACTGTAGGCTTATTTATTAGTTTTACTACCATCTTTCTCACTAGAATACAATCTCAATAGGGCAGGACTTGTCAGTCTTGCATTCCCCGGTCTAGAACCATAGCTGTCACACAGCAGGCACTCACTAGGAATTAAAGAATCTGTGAAGAAGTTAAAGCATGGAGGAAGGGAGGGATCCATATACTTGATCATGAAGGGGTGCTGTATTTTGTTGAATGCTTTTTCTGAATCTATTGAGATGACCATATGGTTCTTATATTATACTTGATAATTAGCATGCTTATAAAAGAGACCAGAATGCTCAAATTCAGGTAGCTCATTTTTGTGTCACATGACTAAACCAGTCAGGGTCACTCCAAGTGAATTTGGGGAAAAAATAAAGACACAGACACAAAAAGTACCTTTTCTTTGGATTCCCTGATAGCTCCTCAGCCATAGCTCCCACAAGGTGGGCAAGGCAGGCAAGAAAGAGAGTGGAGAGCATGTGCTGAACCTTTTTATTGGGGAGAAGCCATTCTAATAAGGAAAGGGGTCAAGTTTCAGGGCGTTGAGTCTAGCTTCCTAGACTCAACAGGTTGAGTGACATCTAGGAAGGCCACATCCATCTCATATGCTGTGTAGGGATCATAGGCAGAGCAATCGAAAAGACTCATATGTCGCCCGCCCAAACACAGGGGCAACATTGGTTCAGTCCACCCTGTGTGCTCAATGCTCATAGTTCACACACACAGAGCCCATGTCTGGCTTGCCACATCTCCACACTCTGATCGCTCAAAGCTAAGGGGTGTTCGGTCCCAATGTGGCAGCTCCTGACAGCACATTTCCCCTCTCTCTTGGATAGGGCTTGAAAATGGTAGAATGAAGAAACAATTAATCAAATACACTGTGAAACAGTTTTGCCAAAGAAGCCAATGGGAATTTGGGGGTGCAGGTAAGCTTAGCAGTTAGAACAGAAAGGAAAACTAAAAGAAAGGAAACTGGGCAACAAAAGAGAAAAATCACCAGGGAAAACTTCCATCAGCAAGATAACCAGCTGGGCACAGAGGTGCACACCTGTAATCCCAGTAATTTGGGAGGCTGAGACAGGAGGATTGTGAGTTCAAAGCCAGCCTCAGCAACTTAGTGAGGCCCTAAGCAACTTAGCAAGCATCCTATGTCAAAATGAAAGATAAAAGTTTCTGGGAATGAAACTCAGTGGTTGAGCACTGCTGGATTCAATCCCCAATACCAAAAAGAGAAAGGAAAAAGAAAGATAACCAAATAGCTTTAAAAATAACAAATACTCCAAGTTGTAAATAGTACCTCTCCAAAATCATCAAACTGATTCTGTAAAGCCCACCACAAACACAAGTGCTCTGTGTGAGTGGTTCTGGGGAAATCAAAGAAAAGAAGTTGAGTTTCACCTCTGAGTTGGTAGAGGAAAGAGGGACTAGAATAGCTATGATAGGTAGGAAATGAATGGGAACTCCCATTAAGTAACCCTTGTTCCCCATAGGGCTAATCATTCTATAAAGATACAGTCAGGAAAGTTGCTATGATTTGAAGTGTTATTCAAAAGCTCATGTTCCAGATACTATAGCAATATATACATATTCATGTTTATAGCACACAATTCACAACAGTCAAACAATGGAACCAGCCTAGATGTCCATCAACAGGTGAATGGATAAAGAAAATATGGTATGTATGCATGCACACACACACACACACACACACACACACACACACAATAGTTTCATTCAGCCATAGATAAGAATTAAATTATATCATTTGCAGGAAAATGGATGGAACTTGAGAACATTATGTTAAGTGAAATAAGTCAAACTCAGAAGAAGGTCA